GCTCTGAAAGGGCTTCCCTGGTGGCGTCGTGGTTGAGAGTCCGCCTGCCGATGCAGCGGACACGGGTTCGTGCCCCGGTCCAGGAAGATCCCACATGCCGTGGAGTGGCTGGGCCCGTGAGCCATGGCTGCTGACCCTGTGCGTCCGGAGCCTGTGCTCCGCAACGGGAGAGGCCACAACAGTGAGAGGCCCGTGTACCGCAAAAAAAAAATGCTCTGAAAAACCTTAATTTAAAAAACTCCTTACTACGTAAAAATTCAAACATACACAAAAGTACACAGAATACTACACCTTATCCCCACAGCAGCCTCACATTCCATCCTTCAGCTTCATCAATTTTCAACTCATTTCCAATTCCCTTTATCTAAAGCCAACCTTGCACTTTCCCTGGATATCAAGTCATGTCATCTCTAAACATTTCAGTAAATCCTTGTAATTTTGACTGAACCCTGATACAATTTGTGGTATTTTGTGTTTTATTTTTCATTGCCTTTTCTTTTCTTTTCTTTTCTTTTTTTTTTAATTTTAAATACCTAGGTCAGTGAAAGAGAGAAAATTTGAGCAAGGAGAAGAAAATTTAGATTTTTCAGTTTTTCTGGAATTTCTAGTACCTAAATACAGTTGTAAACTTTCTTCTTCCTGAAGGGGGTGACAGAGCTAGCAAGATACAGTCATTCAGTTTTAACAAATACTAATTGAGCACTAGGAATGGGGCTGGGTGCTAGAGATTAAAAAACTGTGTAAAACAAAGACCCTTTCTCTAGAATGGGTGAGACAGACACAGGAACAGATTATGTTAATGTGAAGTAGAAAAGCAAGGATAATGGTATTCACAAGGTACCATGGGAACAGAGAATAAAGGCACCAAATTAGGTATTCAAGAAAGGCTTCCAGGAAGATGACATCTGAGTAAATGCAAAAATACTGCAAAGAACTGTCATGATGTCATTATAATAAATTCAATATAAAGTTTCTTTCAAGTGGATTTCCTTCATTCAGTTGGTTGGGGAAATTAGGTGGTGTGGGGAAATTTCCTTAAAGAATGTTAGTCCGGGAAGAGAGTGAAATATCAAGAATTCAAAAAACAACGACTCTATCATGTGTTGTGGAGAATAACAAAAGAAAAAAGTCCTGGCCTCTCCCCTCAAGGAGGTAGGAATCTAGGCGGAGAGAAATTAAACAGGCATTAGAAAATTTTACTATATAATATTCAATCAAAATATAGAGTCTAGTGATGGGAAGAGTGGTGTGGACTGAAATATTTGAATAAAGGCTGGGACTTAAACCAAGGTTCTGAATATAAATTTAATCCAGATACAAAACGGAAGTCAGTCAAGTAAAGGATATTAAAAGATGAGTCTTAAGTGGTGAAGGAGTCTTTGTCTTTAAAAAGTATGTATTTAGGGACTTCCCTGGCAGTCCAGTGGTTGAAACTTCGTCTTCCAATGCTGAGGGTGCGGGTCGATCCCTTGTTGGGGAACTAAGATCCCACATGCCTCATGGCCAAAAAAAACCCAAACAAACATAAAACAGAAGCAATATTGTAACAAATTCAATAAAGACTTTAAAAAATGGTCCACATCAAAAAGAAAAAAGTCTTAAAAAAAAAAGTACTCATTTATTCTGTCCATCTTTGGACTGAGCGAAGTAGGCAGGGAAAGGTCAAGATTTTTAATCTCAACCTCAGTCTCTAAAGAGATGTGTGAATGTGTGTGTGCTCATGTGTGTGTTATATATGTTAGTGTCAGAGCATGAAGATTTGATTTGACAATGTACAATCTGATTCTAAGCTATTGGGCTGAAATAATGCAGTGTCAGGTGCAAAAACAAAGATCTACTCTGGCAGATTATCTGATTCTTAGGGAGAAAATAAAAACTAAAACCCATAAAAATGAAAGTTGTAGAAGACACATAAGAAAATTCAGTCAATACTATAAAATTTTTTAAAAATCCAACTGTTACTCAGAGATTAATGGCTCACTATTTACAATTCCATGTTAATAATAACAACAACAATAGTGTCAGCTAACACACATATAGCATCCACTATGAAGCAAGCTTTATGTAATTAATTCATTTAATCCTCAAAAGTGACTATCAGGTAGGTAATACTATAGATCTTCCTTGACTTACGATGAGGTTAATCCCAAAAAACCATGATAAGCTGAAAATACTGTAAGTCGAAAATGCACTTAATACAACTACCCTACTGAATATTGTAGCTCAGCCTAGCCTGCCTTAAACATGCTCAGAACACTAACATTATCCTACAGTTAGATGGGCAAAACCATCTAACACAAAACCTATTTTATAATAAAGTGCTGAATAGCTCATGTAGTTTACTGAATCCTGTACTGAAACTTAAAAACAGAATGGTTGGGTACAGGATGGTCTTAAGTGGATCGGTTTATCAGTTGGTTGCCCTCGTGAGCACGTGGCTGACTGGGAGCTGTGGCTCGCTGCCACTGCCCAGCATCATAAGAGAGCATCATACCGAATATCACTAGCCCAGGAAACGATCAAAATTCAAAATTCGAAGTACGTTTCCTACCGAATGCGTTATCGCTTTTGCACATCATAAAGTTGAAAAATCGTTAAGTCGGACTGTCTGTATCCCTCCCACTTTATAGAGGAGGTAACTGAGACACAGAGAGATTAATAATTTCTCTCCTCAACTCTAGTTTTTTAAACTTTACCGGTCAGAATTTAGGTCAGAGGTTAACAAAAGACATATAGGAATACTGTGAGCATAAGGTTGAAATCTAATATTTTTATGAATTCAGAAAAATTTCTTATATCCTCCATGAACTTAAGAGAAATGATGCATGATAGTATGTTGGCACAGAACCATAAACATAAACATCAAATCCATCCATGAAGTGAAGAGGTAAAGTTACAAATAGGAACTTACTCTAAAAATGCCATGCTTACAAACAGACCAAAGAATAGTCTCCTAAATATTTCCCATAGGATTGAGGAATGCATCTTTTTCATAATACTTACATACATGGAGAACATAAATTATAATAAATGACCGTATCATATGTAGCAATAAAGATAGCCAGTAGTAAAAATGCATTTGAAGTAACTTGTCCCTACTGAATAGTAGAAAAATATAACTCCCGAGGTGGAATTAGCTGCTTTTTCTTCCAAAAGCTCTGACAGCAAATTACGCGTAGCTATTCCCAGCGTTTATATTCTATTACAGTATAATATAGTTATTTGTTCATGTAGTAGTCTTCCCTCCAGGCTATGAGTCCTTGAGGATAGGGTCTGAATTTATTCATCCTGGGATTTAAAACCCATCCCTGCACCTAGTAGAATGAAGGTTTGTTGAATGAATGAATGAATGATTTGATAAGTGACTTTTAACAAAATCTTGGGTGCTATAAAGCATTATAGAAAAGTTTAAAATATCAATTAAGTCACAAGGGTTTTTGTTATTTTATGAGCGGATTCTTGTCTCCTCTGCCTGGCATTTAAGGTCTTTCTACATTGGCCCTAATCTACCTTCTTAACCTCATCTTCTCTTCTTTTAGTTATATCCTCTGTATGAATTACTTGCTCTTTCTGGCATAAGCTCTGTGCTTTCTCATCTCTATGCTTTTACTCAGTAACCTCCAAAAGTTTTAGCTTATGCAGCCCTTTCGATATAAATGAGTATACTTACCTAACACTGTGCTAATGTTTATTGTAAAGCAATCATAAAAATAGGAGAAAATAGACATTTTAAACAAATGAGGTAGACATATATAAATAGAAGTTTTAATCCTCTCTTTCTGTACACAATGCATTGTTTTGCACATACTTCACTTTAAAAATCACTGATTTATATCAGAAGGACACATCTCAGAGAGTATTTGTGAGAATGAAGTAAATCTGTACATGTAAAGCACTTAGAACAATGCTGGTCATACAGGAAACACAGTAAATGTCAGTTAATTTCATTAACATCATTATCATCAATGCAGTTTCTTTCCACATACTTACCCTCCAGCTCCACTCCTACAAACCCCCTGAAGGCCAAATTCCAATGTTATCTTTTCAAATAATTATTTGAATGCATCTCTTAAATTAGGATTTCTCAATTTGGTAGGAGGTACCAAATCCTACAGAGTTAGCAAGAAGCCATGGCTAAGAAGCCAAAATAAAGCTGCAACAGTTGGAAAAAAATTTAGGATGGGTTTATGGAAAATGAGGCAAATGGAAAAAGATGTGATTATTAACCCAAAGAGAAGTAAAATATACAAAAATGAAATATAATACATTATCTGGCTCTATAGTAAACAATGTTTAGATAGACCCAATAATAGAAACATTGACTACTAATTTAACCAAAAACTGTTATATAACCACATGGGAAAGATGTGGCATTATAACAGCCCCCAAACCCTCAACTTTTATTAGCAAAAGTCTAAAGAAGATTAATCATGAACTAGAAATTTAGGCATATTACTTTAAAACTTATAAATACCAGAAGAAATTTAAGAATAGGGAAAAAGAGAAGATTTTCTTTCTAGAAGCTTCTAGAAAGATAAAAGTAGTTCTGTACCATAAGATCAGCAGCGAGAATGGCATGTGTTGTTCTTTTCAATGGTAGTAGGAGAAGTTAAAAAGCAAGGAAGCAATGCCTTCAAAATTCTAAAAGAAACAATTCTACACCCAGTCAAGCTATTCATGTAAAAGCATTTTACAAAATGCAAAGACTCAAAAATTTTTCTCCTATGCAGCAGTCCTTCTCAGGAATTTATCTGAAGATGTGTTCATACAAAAGAAGAGAACAAATAAAAGGGAAGACACAGAATCTAGGAAACAGGAAATTCAACGGTTCTATTGATCAAATCATATTAAAAGTTATTGGTTTTAAGAAGATCAAATCAATATGAAGGCATTCAGCTGATTTTTGAAATGTTAAAATATTTCTTATGCCTTTAGATTTACAGTTACACGTTTACATCAACCTGAGCATAAAAGAGACTGCAAGAGGTTTCAACTCTTACCTGTAACACAGCAGCAAATAAGTATACTACTACGAAGATTATAGTTAAAGAAGTGTGACCACTTTTCATCAAATGAATAGTGTAGAGGAAAATTAAATGCCCAGGTATCACTAAAAGCAGTAGAACTTGAGCAGACTTATTATTTACTCCTGTAATATAAAATGTAAAAGTTGTTAAAATCATATTTTGGTGAATAATAGGTCACAGTTGTTAAAATTTGAGGATTACTTCTAGTTACTATAGTGCATAGAATCACATAAAATTCAGTTGCTAAAAATAAATTTTAACTATTTACAATTCACTTAGTTTTTAAAAATTCTCCCTATATGTTATATATTAATTAAATAAAAGGTGGTTGATAAAAACTTGCTATGAAGAACACTGGTCAAACTATAATATCTATTATAAAAACAAGAAAATGAACTATTTCGCTCCGAAAAATGCGCAATGCATTTGTCTTACCTAACTGAGATCACACAAAATGAAAACAGTGAAATGATTTCCCTACATCATTTAATTCCTTTTTATTGACCATTTTAATGACTAAATGACATCTCATGATCTTCTAACAGAGGACCTTTGGTTATAAAATGTTTTAATTTTATTTTTCCTTTAGAATTCTTTCACTGCAATTAAAAGACTGGGCATTTCTGATCCTCATTCAAAAGTTACATTTATTACATTACATTTATTTTCATCATAAAAAAAAATTTGTCAAGAATTTAAAATTGTGGTTTAGTTTTTTGGATATCATATGCCTGGGACATAATAATGTCCTTGTAACTGAGGTTGTCCCCTCTCATTCTGCTTGTTTGGGATCAAATGCCTACATTTAGAAAAGTCCAAAAGATTAATATACAAAAGACAGATGGTATATCTGTCTCCCTAAATCACCTAACAGTGCTTTCTTATATGCACAAGGTTCCTCTTTCCTGACTCCTAAAACAAGATATCCCAGAGAAAGAGAAAAGAGAAAAACTATATAAAGCTCCTCAGCAACTGCAGAATTGATACAAATTGTTTTTTTGTTGTTGTTCACTGAGATTTAGTGAATACAATCTATTCTAGTATTTAAAATCTATTTAGCTCTCAGAAATGGAAAATTATGCAATATTCACAAACAAAATATGTATTCAACAAATGTTGCCTGCCTATACTCATAGAGAGCAATAGTTCCTGAAATAAAATATGCAAGAATCCACAAGCACCTACCTGGACCAAAAAAAGTTCTAAATGGGTAGTAACCACCTTTGGGTTCATCGGGCAGTTCTCCTGGAATGCTGTGTAAATGGAGGTAAGTAGAAATCCTGCTAGCCTGAATGGCTACCAAATTACCACCAATACCTGAAACAGAAGGAAAAACAAACAAGGTAGTTATCTTCATATTTTAAATAATGTGCATACATTCAACTGAATACAGCCTCTTTATGTCACATCCTGGGCCAAGAAAACAAAGAATTCTTCTGAAATGTTGATTTATTAAATGCTGAGGTAGACATTCCAAAGACATAAAATCACTGCTGTGAAAGACTCATTCATTATTTTTTCAAATCTAACTCACTGTTTGTTCTGAAAGCAGAGTAACTAATTTTTAAAAATTACTATCACAGGGCTTCCCTGGTGGCGCAGCGGTTGAGAGTCCGCCTGCCGATGCAGGGGACGCGGGTTCGTGTCCTGGTCCGGGAAGATCCCATATGCCGCGGAGCGGCTGGGCCCGTGAGCCATGGCCGCTGAGCCTGCACGTCCGGAGTCTGTGCTCCGCAACGGGAGAGGCCACAACAGTGAGAGACCCGTGTACCGCAAAAAAAAAAAAAAAAAAAAAAAATTACTATCACAACCAAGATATAAAACTAGGTAACAAGATATTTCATGTTTATCATCTTAATGACAGGGAAAACAAGCTAGATTTATTCAAATAGACAAGGCTTGATACATGTCTCTCAGGTTACTAAAGAAATGGGTATAAGACACTGAAAAAATTACTCAAGAAAGTCATCTTTTAACCTAGATTATCTTCTCATATCCTCAGAGGAAGGGGAGTTGATGCCTAGAAGTGAAATGAATTCCAAAGGGTGGTAAGTGCCCCCAAGGTAAGTTAGGACACCCAAACTCTTTCTCCTTTGGCAGATTATGGGAGGAAGAGGTAGTAGTCATAAAAGCAAGTAGGAAGGAAACAACTGAAAATTTCAAATTCTTTAATGCTGAGTGTGGGCTAACATAACCATTTAGAACACCTGGGAACCCTAGACACAAGGGGAGTCTTCATTCACGGGTCAACTATTTCTGCAAGCCTCCCCTGGGCACTTGTGAGACAGACTGAGGTAGGACAGAACACTTGAGAGAGCCGACCTTGGTGGCACACAGCAAGAAATCACATCCATTTCTGACTCCCTCTCTCATATGAAACAAAAGCTGCTTGAGGTGATGAAGGAAACACTCCAGCTACCCGACCCCAGGCAAAGATCCACTGCCACTGGAGGAAGAGCAGAAGCAAAAGCTGTGTCTACTGCTGGAGAAGTGGAAGGAGATCTTCCTGCTTAAGACCAATCTGAGTAATTGATTGGTCTTAAGAAACATTGAGAAGGCCTCACCTCTGTGGACCAAGTGCACAGGAACTGCCTAAGATTGAGACTAGTGCAAGAGAATCCCAAATCCCATCCCATGCCTTGCACCATGTAACAAGCATCAACAACCTACCGTGAGAAGAGAAGCAAGAGCACACATAGTTAAGCCTTTCATGCTCCAGGCATACAGTGCTCCAAGCTTCACACTGAGCATAAGGTAGCAGGAGCTCATTGATAAATCTGAAGTCAGTGGTGCACTGAAGGCAACTATAACAACCACAAAAACCAGACCCAGCTCAACTATTGATGAGACTCACACAGTCCTCCATACTAATGACCTAACAGAAGGAAAAGCCTGCCTTTAAGGCGTAAATAATATTTATCTCAATCTCCAATGTTCTTTTATACACAATGTCCAGCATTTGATAAAGAATTTCTGAGACAGTAAAAAGCAATAAAGAAAACAGACTATTGTCAGGAGTTAAGAAGTCAACAGGACCAGACTCAGGACTCAGGTGCTGAAACTATCTGACAAGAACTTTAAAATTACTATGATTAATATGTTAAAGGATCTAGGGGGAAAGAGGTTACAATATGCATTATTAAAAGATGGGAACACAAATAGGTTAAAAGTAAAGGTACGGAAAAAGATATACCATATAAACACTAGGGGAAAGAAAGCTAGAGTGGCTACATCAATACCAGAAAGATGAAAGAAAAGACTTTATAACAGGGGATATTACCAGAGAGAAAAACAAACATTGAATAATGGTTGAGGAGGTCAACTCACGAAAAAGACATAACAATCCTAAATGTAGTTGCACCTAAAAATAGATCTTCAGAATACCCACAGGAAAAACTGATGAAACTGAAAAAAAGAAAAAAAAAAAAAAAAAACCAGACAAGTTGGTAATTATACTTGGAGACTTTATCACTCTTCTCTTATTAACTGGTAGAATGCACAGATTTTTAAAAAATCAAAACTATACAGGAGATTTTAACAATAATAACAACCAACTTGATCTACAGGACATTTATAGAACACAACACCCAACAAAAGCAGAATACATATTCTTTACAAATATACACATGGAACATTCATGCAGATAGACCATACTATGAGCCATAAAACAAGTCTCAATAAATTTGAAAAAACTGGAACACATAAAGTATGCTTTCTGGCTACAACAGAAAAGATAGACATCTGAGAATTCCCCCAAATGTTGGAAAGCAAACAATACATTTCTAAATAACCCACAGGTCAAAAAAGAAATCACAAAGGAAATTTTAAAATATTCTGAATTTAATGAAAATGAAAACACAACGTACTGAGATTTGTGCACACAACATATTGAGATAAATACTGCACATAAAGCAGTCCTTAGAAATTCACAGCATTAAATCTTATATTAGAAAAGAAGAATGATCTATTATCAATGATCTAAGGTTCCCATCTTAAGAACCTAAAAAAAAAATTAAAAATTAAACTGAAAGGAAGCATAAAGAAGGAATAAGACGTATAAGAGCATAAATCAATGAAATAGAAAACAGAAACAATAGAGAAAAGAAATGAAACCAAAAGCCGCTTCTTTGAATAGATCAAGAATAAAAGAAGACACAAATTTCAATATTAAGAATGAAAGAGGAGTCATCACTACAGACTATGCAGGATTAAAAGAATAATATGGTTATACCATGAACAACTTTATGCCAGAAAATAATAGCTTGGGTGAAATTTTAAAATTCCTTGAAATACACAAACTATAAAAACTCACTTGGCAAGAAAGAGATAACATGAATAGCCCTATATCTATGAAGCAGTAGTTCTCAGGTGGGGGTGATTTTGCCACCAATAATCGACCCCCAATCCAAAAAAAAGAGATTTGGCAATATCTGGAGACATTTTTGGTTGTCGTAATTTGGGATGTTTCATTGGCATCAAGTGAGCAGAGGCCTGAGATGTTGCTAAACAACCCACAGTGCACAGGATGCACCCCCCCCCACCCCACAATATGAAATTATCCGGCCCCAAATATCACGAGTGTCAGGATTGAGAAACCCTATATTGAGGAAATTGAATTCATAGTTAAAAACTTATTCATGAAAAAATCCCTTCAGGGCCTGATGCCTTCACTATCTGGAAACTGAGAGAACATGCCTTTAAATAACTTGTGAATTAAAGAGTACATCATAATAGAAAATTTTAAACATTTGTATTTGAATGGAAATTAAATATTACATACAAAAGCAAGTGGGGTGCAGCTTAAGCAGTAATGAGAAGCACACTTAAAGTCTTAAATGCACATACTTAAAAAAGAAGGAAGACTTACTGACCTAAGCATCCATCTCAAGGGGTTGGAAAAGATAGAAATATAAACACAAACTTGAATAAGAAAAGTAATGAAAGAGAAAAAAGTAAGAAGATCAGTAGAGCTACATATCAGTTATCTGAAAAGAAAAAAAGAGTAGGGACAAACAATAGGAAGAAAAAGGAAGTCATAATTCCAATTACTACCAATATTTTAAAAATAAGATTATGAACAACTTTATGCCAATAAACTTGAAAATTTAAATGGGAAAATATTCTAAAATATATATAACTTAACAAAATTAACTCAAGGAGAAATACAAAATCTGGATCATTCTATGACTAAAGAAATTAAATCTAAAATTTTAAATCTTCTTCAAAAAATCACCAGGTCGGGCTTCCCTGGTGGCGCAGTGGTTGGGAGTCCGCCTGCCGATGCAGGGG